TAATCGGAATGACAAGTCCAGGGGACGGTCTAAATCCAAGAAATGTGCTACCATTGTCAAGGGAATGGGCACTTTAAGAGGGAGTGCAGGGTTCTCAAGAGAGAACTAGCAGCGAGAAAAGGTAAAGGCAAGAAGGATGAATCAAGTGATGATGACACTACTGCAGTAGTAACTACCAGTGATGTATTTGTGTCTTGTGATGATGATACAATTAATGTTGCGAGTCACGACAGTGATTGGTTCGGTGATTCAGGTGCGTCTTATCATGTGACGCCTCACAGACACTTGTTTACCTCTTACATACCTGGAGATTTTGGTCGCGTAAGAATGGGCAACCAAGCCTCATGCGATGTTGTCGGCATGGGAGAGGTATCATTGGTAACGAATACAGGTTGTACTCTTGTCTTGAAGAATGTCAGACATGTTCCGGATATACGTCTGAACCTTATTTCCGTTGGTAAACTTGATGATGAGGGTTATCATAGCACTGAAGGTGGTGATCGTTGGACAATTACCAGAGGGAATCTTGTTATTGCTAGAGGAAAAAAGTTGAACTCTTTGTATGTGTTGAATGCAAAGTTGAAGAATGGAGAGGTGAATGCAACTCACAATGCCTCCATTAATTTACGCACGAAGGCTTGGACACATGAGTGTTAAGGGGTTGCGATTCTTGGTAAGAAGCAATTCCTCCCGGAGGTGAAAGGTCTTGCTCTAGAACCTTGTATTGATTGTATCTATGGTAAACAACATAGGGTTTCCTTTCAAAATTCTCCTCCATCTAGAAAGTCCAGTGCTCTAGAGTTGGTTCATACAGATGTATGTTACATGAAAGATAGGTCGTTGGGTGGAGCATTGTACTTTGTTACTTTCATTGATGACTATGCTCGAAAGGTTTGGTGTTTTTCTTTGAAATCTAAAGACCAGGTATTAGATGTGTTCAAAGACTTTCACCTTAGAGTTGAAAGAGAGACTGGCAAGAAGTTGAAAAGTGTGTTCGAGCAGATAATGGTGGTGAGTACAGGGGTCCGTTTGAGAAGTATTGCCGAGACCATGGCATTAAACTTCAAAAGAGTGTTCCGAAGACTCCGCAGCAGAATGGCGTGGCAGAAAGAATGAACAGAACTATTACCGAAAAGGTTAGGTGTATGCTCTCGAATGCAAAGCTGCCTAAATCTTTTTGGGGTGAAGCCATGCAAACAGCAGTTGATTTGATCAACCTATCTCCCTCAGTTCCGTTGGATGGTGATCTACCACAACGAGTTTGGACAGGGAAAGATGTCTCATTTAGGCATTTGCGAGTTTTGGTTGTCGTGCCTTTGTTCATATTCCCAAAGATGAAAGGTCGAAGCTTGATGGCAAATCCAAGCGGTGTGTATTCTTGGGGTATGGAAATGATGATTTTGGGTACGAGACTTTGGGATCCTGTAGAAAAGAAAGTTTTGAAGCGAGAGATGTGATTTTCTTTGAAGACCGGACCATTGATGATATGGGAAAAGGCGAGATGCCGAATCTTCACTGAGATTCTGTTGATTTAGATCCAGTTCCTCCACAATCGGATGATTCTCTGAAGGGGAGGCCGAGACAGAGCGAGGATGGTGAGTTTGATGATGATCCCGCTCTCAAACAGGGACACCACCGGTTTCATCACCTCCTATTCAGCCTAGGAGGTCCACCGGAGACAAGAGACCTTCCACCGTGCACGGTGCTCATGAGTATTTGTTGCTTCGATGGGGAGAGCCGAGTCGTATGAAGAGGTTCTTAGTCATGAGCGAAAGATCGGTGGTTAGCAGGCATGCAAGATGAGATCAAATCCTTGCATGAGAATAACACGTATGACACAGTGAAGCTGCCTAAGGGCAAGAGAGCACTCAAGAATAAATGGGTGTTTAGACTAAAAACAAGTGAGAACACTCACAACCGAGGTACAAAGCCGATTGGTTGTGAAGGGATTCAATCGAGAAAGGGCGTAGACTTTGATGAGATATTCTCTCCTGTTGTGAAAATGTCTTCAATCCGAGTTGTGCTTGGGATAGCGGCCGGCTTGAATCTTGAGATTGAACGGCTTGATGTGAAGACTGACCTTCTGCATGGTGATTTGGAAGAAGAGATTTACATGGAGCAACCAGATGGGTTTCGGGGAAAAGGGAAAGAGAAGCTTGTATGTCGTCTCAACAAAAGCTTGTATGGGTTGAAGCAAGCTCCGAGGCAATGGTACAAGAAGTTTGATGCCTTTATGATAGGCGGGGCTACCAAAGGACTACAGCTGATCATTGTGTGTTTGTGAAGAAATTCTCTGATGGTGATTTTATAATTCTTTTGCTTTATGTCGATGACATGTTGATTGTTGGTCATGATATTGCAAAGATTGCCAGGTTGAAAAAGGAGTTGAATAAATCCTTTGCGATGAAGGATTTGGGTCCGGCTAGACAGATCCTTGGGATGAAGATTTCTCGTGACAGACAGAATGGGAAGCTTTGGGTATCTCAAGAGAAGTATATCGAGAAGGTTCTTGATAGATTTAACATGAGCGGTGCTAAGGAAGTCTCGACTCCACTTGCAGGGCATTTTAAGCTAAGCAAAACGCAGTGTCCTAAAAGTGAGAAAGATAAGGAAGAGATGAAAAAAGTTCCTTATGCTTCGGAGTTGGCAGCCTAATGTATGCGATGGTTTGCACAAGGCCAGACATAGCTCATGCAGTTGGGGTTGTTAGTCGGTTTCTCTCCAATCCTGGTAAGGAGCATTGGAATGCTGTGAAATTGATTCTCAGGTATCTTAGGGGTACTTCCATATTGAGTCTTTGCTTTGGCAATGGAAAGACCATGTTGGATGGATATACAGATGCTGACATGGCGGGTGACCTTGATGGTCGGAAGTCTACTTCTGGATACTTGATGACTTATGGAGGGGGAGCGGTTTCATGGCAGAGTAGATTGCAGAAATGTGTTGCTTTGTCTACTACAGAGGCAGAGTTTATCGCAGCTACTGAATCTTGTAAGGAAGCACTTTGGTTGCAGAAGTTTCTACAAGAGCTTGGCATGAAGCAAGAGAAGTATGTGGTGTATTGTGATAGCCAAAGCGCTATTCACTTAGCGAAAAATTCCACATTTCATTCGCGATCAAAACATATTGATGTGAGATATCATTGGATTCGAGATGTGTTGGAGTCCAAGGCGTTGTTTCTTGAGAAGATCCATACGGATGACAACGGTGCCGATATGTTGACGAAGACTGTGAGTAGAGAGAAGCTTCTGTTCTGTAGACAGGAAGCAGGTTTGATTTTACCCCCCAATTGAGGTGAAGGGGGAGATTGTTGGGCCCGGTATTCCCCTTAATTGGGTCAACAAGGAAACAAATAAAACCAAGCCAATTTTGGCTTTGGTTTTAGGAAACAAAACCTACTCCAATTGGTTTTTTGTTTTTAGGTTTTTTTGCTCTATAAAAGCAAGGCTTTGGCATAATTTTTAGGGGTGTGTTTTCAGCCAAGAAGAGAAGAAAAGTTTGGGCAGCCGTGCATTGTTTTTGTACGAGAGAAAAAGAAAGAAAGCTAGGGTTTAGTTTTCGGTTTAGCTCTCTTTTGGTTAGATCCTTCCAGTCCTACTTTGTGATAGGTGTGTGTGGAAGAGTATTGTTGTAATCCACCTTTGGGTGACGTCCTGTGTATCCACCAGTCGGTGAAGACTGTTTTCCCATTATTGTGATAGTGGAGATTTGACTGTTGTTACAGTCTCGTGGTTTTTCCCGATTTGGGTTTCTACGTAAATTTGCGTGCCTCCTTTATTTTATCAGTTCTTGAGTTAGTTGCTTGTTTGGGTGGTTGTCCTATTTTATTGGTCGTAAGAAAGGAGTTTTTCTTGGGGCTCGCTTCCGCAGTGTGTTGTGCTTATACCCTTTCCGCCTCAACAATAACAAATTTGGTGCCCCCAACAAAAAAAAAAAACTTGAATTAAGCGTCTACTTTAACGTCGAGATATATAAACCGACAAATATATCGACAAAATTGGAAACTTGAGGCTTTCAATTCAAAAGCGTGGTTTGTGAAATTAGTGTTAAATTTCCGATTTCGTCGACATTTTCGTCGGTTTATATATCTCAACGGTAAAGTCGACGTAGAGTTTAAGGGTTTTTTTTTTTTTTTTTCCCCGAATTTCCTATTTACATTCGTGACTTTCTCCATTGTAAAGGTTAACCATACTTTTCTTTATTATTCAGCATGCACATTTTTTGCATCAAGTGTAACAAAATCCGTTTATTTTTCTTATTCTAGACTTTGTATAAAGTCGAACAATACATCATTGCGATAAAATAAAATCAAGGATATTAGCTTAGAGCAACAATGATGAAGCAAGTGCCCATACCTTTGGTGACCCTTGTCCACCAAAAACAAAAACTTTGGCCGCCGATTTTGTTTGTGCTAGCTTGATAAAATTCTAAACCTGATTGTTGCAATGGATATGGGGTACCAAAGCGAAATGGAAATCTACCCCTTTGGTAGTCAGCGATTAATATTGAGGTGAAAGTTCTTAACGTATTTTTGTAAGTCCTCGCACTTTTCCAGAATGGAATGTGTTAAAGAATGTTCGATGCTTACATTAATTATAAGTAGTATTCCCTCCGTCTCATAATTATTGTCCAGTTTGAGTTTTCATTTCTAGTTCAAATTATACTAAAAGTGAAATCTCAAACTGGATAATAATTTTGGGACAGAGGGAGTAACACTCCATCAACAAGTTTCTGAATGTTAAGCTATTTTTCACCGAGAAAATGCACCCTGATTTTCTTTCAACGCCGGAAGGGAAAACCACAGAAGAAACTGTTAAGAAGCAAATAAGCACTCAACTAGAACTTCATAGTACCACAACAAAATGACTATTCTAACACTAAGAAGCAGAATATATTCCCCTCCATAGATAGAATCAACCTCTATATCTGTTGTTGATATTTGCATCTAACTTATATATCATCATCATATATATAATTCCCATCCAACTATCTATAAATTATCAGGTTCTAATTCCAGGCAAGACGTCTCCAATTAGCTTTATCATTCTTCCTTTCCACTCCACAAGCATAACAGAATTGGCCTCCACACCTGCCACAAAAGCAAAGAGGTCAGCTTAAAACATCACTATTCAGCCTTCTTTTTTTAAAAACAAAGAAAAATGGATGGCTCCAACGAGAATAGAACCCTCGACCTCCTGGTAATTTAGAATAATTCAATTTCAGTACCTGCATTTTATGTGGTTACAGCCAGCCGAAAGCTCAATCATCTGACTACATTTGACGCATTATCGCCAAGAACGCTTTTGCGCGAGCGAGATCAACTGCTTTTCCTCGTGACACGAATAAGGGTGCTTCTTTCTATAATCATAAGAAGTGATGTTCTCATGCCAGGCGATTTTGCAATGCACACAAAAAACCTTTGTCACATTTCAAGCATCTCCTGAACCCGGAATATAAATACGATTTCCAGGTAATGGTTTTTGTATACTTCAAAACCTCTGCTTTCGACATCAGATTAGAGCACTTGGGAAATGGGCAATAGACTCTATCCTGAACAGGAATCTCAGATTCCCTCAGCCTTTCTTCAATCAATGCCACCAACTTTGGGCTTAAAATCTTTTCGCAATACGCAATCTTAATGCTTGACTTACATCCTTCTTGAGGACATGGAGGCAAAAGTCCTCGATGTAGCATCACCTCCGCATACTTTTTCACACAAGAAATGCACCGAAAATGAGAACAATCAAGATGATGAAGGGAAACCATCTTGTGTGGATAAGTTTCCTCTAAACAAATAACACAAGTTTCCGTCTCCAGATTTATAACAACTTCTCGACCATGGCCAAAGCTGGAATAAGATTGAGGGTCGGGTTGTTTCGTTTTTTCGGTGTGTGTTTTGTTTGTTGGGAATAATAACGTAAAAATATATATATTGGGAGGTTATTTGCCCATTAAGCGCTGTGGGATTAAAAGGGAAACAAGGAAAAAAAAAAAAAGGTGCAATAAATTTTCCCTGAAATTGAAATATATACTCCTACAACTATACATGGTATCGTCTGAGTTTTTGCCGTTACCACAGCAGGAATATTCTTGTCATGTACATTGAAGGATTCCGGCATGGACAAAGCTGTTATAAATCATCAGAAAACTCCCCCAACTTTTAGGAAAATTTAAAAATTTATGCTTTTCATTACTAAAAGATCCTCATATGCATATCATACCCATCTAGATCTAGTTAGTAAATAATCAGGCGCTCATCCCAGAGAGGACAACTACAAGGTCTTGTATCTTTGTTCTTCCATTCCTTTCCACAGGTGAAACAGAACTGACATCCACATCTGCCAGAAAAGAACCAAAACAAAACAAGAAGAAGGGTCAGCTAAAAAATTTCACCACAATTCATCTGCTGAAACAATTCATCAGTATATATGATTCAATTTCAGTATACCTGCATATTATGTGGTAACAACCAGCTGTGAGTTCAATCATATGGCTACATTTGATGCATCTTCGCCACGAGTACCGTTGCGCGAGCGAGATCAGCATCTCTTCCTCTGCTGTCGAATGGGGATGCAGCTTCTTGTACTCAGCACACGTGGTGCCTTCGTGCCACGGGATCTTGCAATTCACACAGAATCCATTGTCACATTTCAAGCATTTCCTGAACCCGGAAATAACATCCTCCTTGTTCTTCGCCACGTGATTAGTATGCTTGAGGACGGCAGGTTTTGACATGAGGTTAGAGCATTTAGGATATGGGCAATAAATCCTGTCCAGGACCGGAATCTCGGATTCCTTTAGCCGTTCTTCCAACCAAGCCACCAATTTAGGGCTTAAGATCTTCTTGCAGTTCCTGATCTTGATACTGGATTTACATCCTTCATGAGGGCAAGTAGGCAGAGAACCTTCACTTAGTTTCACCTCAGCAAGCGTTTTCAGACAAGATGTACATTGATTATGAGGGCAATCATGAAGGGAAGACATCCCATGAATCTCAGTTTTCTCCAAACAAATCCCACAAGTATTGTTCTGCTTACTCTCCATTTCAACACAGAATTCGTCTTTCTCAAACTTCTTCTTCACTACTCGGCGTTTTCTCAAACTTCTTCACTACTCGGCGTTTTTTTTATCGATTCTTTGACTCTAGAATTTCTCTCTTCAACCAGTGCTTGATGAAATTCCCATATTATGCAGTGGAAAATTTTTAACTGAAATTAATCATCATCCAATGACCAGATTAATCAGAGAACAATAACCCATCAAAAATTTTCGATATATAACAGATATGCGATGACAAATTGCTTAAAAAAAAAAGGTGACACTGTAACTTCAGTATATCTAGTCTGTTAATGCCTTTCAAAATATGTGAAATCCCAGGTTTTCTAGTGAAACTAGACACCAACTATACGCTAAAAAGAAAAAAGGAAACAGGGGATTTATGAACAGAACTGCAAGAACCAACCATAGTACAAAAAAAGAGAGACTAAAAACAGAATTGGAAAAAAAAAAAAAAAAGGAAGATGAACGGTGAACCTGAAGTGAGGGAAGAACAAGGAAGAAAGCTTGTAAGTTGTACGGAGTCACTAAGTATCAGCAGACATGACTGCTGGTCTTTCCCAATAAAAGAGTTTGGAAGAGTTTTGAGTTCTTTTTCAAGGAGAAAAAAGAAAAGGAAAAGACAAAAACCTCCGAGTTATGTCCCAAAGACTAATACCATCTCGAATTTTTCTATAAGGACAATTTCCCCCCTTGACCTCCAGCCAAAAATAACCAAATTACCCTTTTCATCCTAAAACAAATTTTTGTGGACAAGTTATATCTTTTTTCAAAGATTTATTTTGTTTAACAAATCATCAAAAGATTTATTTAAATATAAGACATATTATTTAAAGACACATTTATTTAAGGATAAGATTTATTCAAAACCTATTTTGTTCAATTTATCTATGGTTGATTTTTTTTTAAAAAAAAATGATAGACTTCAACCATATTCTACATTGATTTTACTAATAATGAACAAATTTAAAAGATGAATAATGTTGAAATTATGCTAACTTTTGGACAAATTATATATTTTTTTGGAAACAAAATTCAATCCTAACCAAATTAGTTTTTTTACAAAAATTAATTATTTTTTTAAAAAATTTTTTTTAACAAAAATCGTTGAATATTTTTATTCCTAAATAAATTTTTCAAATGATTTGTTAAAAAAAAAGCCATTGAAAAAAAAGAAGATAAAATATGGATCAAAAAAATTATTTTTAGACAGAATGGTATTTTTAACATTTTAACTCTCAAGGGGGTCAATTACGGCGTTGACTGGAGGTCAAGGGGAGAAATTGTCCTTATAGGAAAACTCGGGGTGGTATTAGTCTTTGGCACATAATTCGGGTGGATTTTGTCATTTTTCCAAAAAGAAAAAGGCCAAAAGAGGTTTGGCTTATATTCCCTCTTCATATAAGAATCTCACAATATAATACTAAGGATGGAAGAGGTGAGATCCGACTCAATTTCCGACTAATTCGTTCCCACTATTATTATCACCAAAAGTGAAACAGAATAAAAAGCTCCCCCCACTCCTTCGGTTCCACTTTGTGTTTCTTTTTTTAACCTTTTCTTTTTTACATAATCTTTTTTTAACCTTATAAAAAGTAAAACAGAATTCTAGGATGGATGAAATAGCTCTCTTACTGACATTATTCTGAGTTTACCTTGTTTGGAGAAAGCTCTAATTTTGGTATGGATACGAAAAATACTCTAAAGATCCTCACTTAGTCACTTGGAGTCAATTAAACGAGATTTTATGGGAATATAATATAAGTGTCTCTGATTCTTTCTACATACACCCAAAATTCTAAAATTTCTCCTCAATATTTCTCAAACCTTCCCTCTTGCCTATTTCCACTTTCATTACTTCACTTTTCCAACTTCAATCAGAATTTGTGTAACGTTCAGCATTCTTACCAACGAATAATCTTACTTAAAAACTACCATGTTGTTAAATCTTACAAATCAACCTTTTCTCATAAGATTCAAAGATAAAAATGCCGATTGGTTGTAAGTCATAATTTTAAAACACAACAATCCCTTGGCAGAAATCACGAACTGAAATAATGTTTAACAAAATTATTTCTTGGTTCGGATTATAAGGTTTGTACTAAAGAGACCAAAGGAACGAAAAGATTTTAAATTCGGCAAAAACTAATTACTTTGAAGATGATTGACCTAATGATCTCCCGGTTCCAGAAGGAAGCATCTTGCTGTATGCATAGATTAATAACCAAAATAATCACCATCAGAATCTGTCTCGTCCTCCTCTTCATCATCATCTACATCTTCATCGTCCTCAGAATCGTCAATGATATGATCTTCATCCCAAAGTGGACAAGAGCACGTCGCTTTCTTGTCCTTCCACTCAGCTCCACAAGTGTAACAAAACTGGTAGCCACACCTGAAAAAAGGTAAAAAAAAGACGCCATTGGAAGCAAACGTCAAAATTTGGCTAACAACATCGGAGCTTATAAAGGAAAATGGAAGACAAGCACTACCTGCAAGTCATGTGGTAGCACCCCGTCGCGAGTTCAATCATGTGGTTACACTTTACACACTGGCGCCACAAGTTGACCGCTGCAAGATTCTTCAAATTCATATCTCCGGCAGGAGGATAAGGATTTCTCCTCTCGTACTCATAGCATGTCATGTTGTTATGCCAAGGAACTTTGCAAGAGATACAAAACATGTATTTACATTTTATACACAATGTAGCTCCTCCTGATCTTACTCCTGCAGGATAGTGACTTTTCGTTTTTGTATATGCTAAAGCCTCAGCTTTTGACATCAGAGCAGAGCATTTTGGATATGGACAATATACTCTCTCTGTAACCGGGATCGAAGCTTCATGAAATCGTAGTTTCAACCTTTCAAGTAACTTTGGGGTTAAAAATTTGCTGCAACTCTCAACCTTGAGTTCAGAAGCACATGATTCATGAGGACATTTGGGTATTACACCAGAAAGCATTTTAACCTCCACGTGCTGTTTCATGCAAGAGTAGCAGTAACTGTGCATGCAACCATCAACTGTGAACATTTGGCTAGTGAGCTTATCCTCAAGGCATATTACACATGTCTCATACGAGCTCCCCGCACCACTTGATCCGGAAGGTTTATTGACCTGAGCAACTATCGCCTCCCTTGCAAGTTTGAAAGCAAACCTCACATCATTTCCAGTCACCAAGATTGGACGACAAGATGCAAACTTTCCTTGAAGCTGAGCAACTTGATTGATAAATGGGATGATTCTTTGTTGCTTTGGTGTCCATCGATGAGTGACCTACACTCCAAACATAATGTTTACAACTGTTATTGCCATTTGCACTTTAACTCTACTCCAGTTCTATGCAAAGCAACAGCAATCACAAATTACAACAAAAACCAGCACTAACATGAGAAATATACAATAACCCATTAAAGCATCTTCAAGCTTTTTGACGATCACAAGAAGTCATGAAGAGGACATTTTCTCATAATGCAAGAGCAAAACATTTAAAACTCCTCAAGAAAATGGTAGAATAGAGGCTTGACTCATCTTTTACCTAGCAAATTAATGCTGTGAGTACACAAAGCTACAACCACAATAAGACAACAAAAAACTTTCAGAGAAAGTTCCACAAAAATCATGCAAAAGTATCCTCGGAGTTAGCAGCAAATGAAGTGGCAACGAAAGCAATCTGGAATACGATTTTCTTGATTTCATTCTTTCCAGACACATACGCTCAACATCGACTAAGAACAAAAGTTAGTGTCACAATTGTAGTTTGGAAAGTCATACAAACATCTGATAATCAAAACTGCTTAACCAGCATATACAATGAAAAAAATGCGTAGCAGGACTAGTTCATATCTGGAATCACCCAGCACCTATATATGGTTTCTATAGAATTGTCCGTCCATGCACCATCATTCTTACAAAACGAAAAAAAATCAAGTGAAACAATGGTGATCATCAACCAGGACTGGTATGTAGTTGAGGGCTCAATAGATTATGGCCATGACTTAAAAGAATAAAAGTAAGGAGGTTTCAGCAAACAATCACTCAAATAATCAAAGTAAAATACAGTAACTACTAAAACAGCGGGGCAGCGAAACAATTCGACATTGAAAACAACAGCAAAAATTACAACTAAGAAGCAAATGAAAACCAGAAAAAAGGGGAATCAAAGAACTCACATATTGATATAACGGATAATAATGGCAACAAAAGTTAACCCTCTTCAAGTCCAATTCCAAGGCGGTATTTAATCCCTCCAGCAACGCTTTAAATTCGACAACCTTCCTCGTCAATCCATTCCCGTAGATAGGCTTCGCCAATTCAAACAACAATTCTCCCCGAGAATCGCAGATTGCAACTCCAATGCCATAGAAAACCCCGCTGTGAACGCGCAATTTATCACTGTTATGCCCCTTCACTTCAACTTCTTTCTCAATCAAACCCTTGAAATAAACCCTAAAAACCTCACCATTCCTATTACTATTACCCGAGGAACTCCCTTCTCCTCCGAAAGGCTTCTCGAAATTATCGCCGTACTCGTCCCAATCATCATCGGGCATACGATGAATCTCCTCCGCCACTTTCTTGTCGTGAATCCGACGGTGGAGATCGTCTCTGATTCTCTTAAACTCCACCTCAGATAGCTTTCGGTCTTTAATCTCTTGCTCGATTTTCAGAAGTTCTTCCGACTGGAAATCAGTAATGGAAACAGAAACGCCGTCGTCAGGAGGCGGCAATTTGGTGTCATTTTGAGGGGTAGAAACAGAGGAGGAGGAGGAGGGTTGGAGTGAGAGGGAAGCATTAATTGCTTCCTGGAGTTGGAGTTGGAAAGCGAAATCCAAGTCGGAGTCGAGCTCTTTCGCCGCCGTGATCTCACGGTGTTGCTCGGAGGCTAATTCCCGCCAATCATCGTCCGAGTCGTCGCCGTATCGCGGGAACGACATTTTCGTAACAGTAACCAAAAAAGTACTGGGCAGTTGATAGTGGGAATCGAAAATGACGCCTGATTACTTTTGCTCTTCCCAAATTCGTTGAATATTTGGGTAAATTCAGTGAATATTTTGGGTATTAATGGTAATAATAGCATCTCATTCATACTTCAAGTTATTTACTAATAATTTTTTTAATAGTTTTTTTATCACAAATAAATTACAGACCTTCTAATGAATTTATTAAGAGAGTATAAATTTATAATAATTGAAAAGAAATAACTATAATTACTTTGATACTTTACTTTCTTTATTTTTTGTCATTTTTTACATGTCAACTTGCCTAAAAAGTTTTCACCATCTCCGGTGAGATTTCGTCATTACCCAAGGGGGAAAAAGTGGATAATTGTTCATTACAAACTGTTCCAAGTAGGCAAATAAAAGAAATTGGAAGTAATATATTTCCTTTGTCTAAAAAGATAGTATGTTATTTCGTTTTAGTTTAATAAAATGCAATTTTTTGAAGAAAAAACTTCAAAAAACTTCAAATATACCGTTGAGTACTCCCGCACTAGCCATTAAGTATTTAAAAATAAATACTCTTTCTATTCTAATAGTTTGTAATTTTTATTTTTAGTGTAATTTATATTAATTGTTTTAAATTAGACAATTATTTTGATAGAAGTACAATTAGTAATTTCGAGAGAGTGTAAAATATAAATTTTGTACCATGCGACCCATGCGATCCCTAGGTTTGGGCTCGGCTAAAATGAAGAAGTTGAAAGAAAAGAAAATTGGGCTTTCCAAACGGAGCTTAATGTTTGTTTAGTTATAGTGTGTAATCTTTATCATTTTACAATTAGGACCAACGCTTTGTATTGGGCTAGTTTCATCCTTTTATAAAAAAGAAAAGCTGCTACTTTTCGACAAGCCCACAAATACCTGGAAAAAGCTCTGAAAATTCTTTGGCTAACCCCTTTAAACTTCAGTTATGACTTATGATTTAGGGAAAGGTTATTCTTAAAATGTATATAAAACTTGTATTTCAGTGATAAAAATGTGTTTCGAGGAAACGGGAGAATGTAAGACTTGGGTTACAGATATTCAATGATCCTTCGTTAGGCCTTAGACCTAACTCGTCAATGTTATCTAATCCTGTCGTAATGTACAATCATTCAATTTTTCAAGTGTTACCTCTTATATTGTAACCAAAAAAATAAGTGTTCGGAAAATTATGTTTTAAGGCGATTATATAAATCCCCCGTCATTTTCTCTTTTAGAGGAAGCAGGAGGAATCAACTGATATTTACTGTTTGTGAGAATCGACCTCCTGACCTCTTAATGGAGGTTCTAAGCACCTACCACAATAAGCTATACGTTCGGAAAAATATATAAACTTGAATAACAAAGTGTTTATAAACATGCTAGGTTGTTGTAAATCTCTACCAAGATTATTTATCCAATGTGAAAATTAAAAGTGTGTACTGCTAAAACCACAAAAATTTGATGAGACAGCATCATAGCGCGCATACATCTTGAAGTTTTTATCCGACCAAAATTCATTGGTAGAATTAAGATTGATCAGTTTAAACTACTTCTTGACTCTTTCAAGTGGTTAGTTGATGCCTTGATGGGAAATGTTTGTATTATCATCTAATTGTAGTACATATATATAGTTTGTAGTCCTGTACTGCAAAAACTATTCTCACAGATAATCTTCCATTTCAGGGCTTCTTTTTTAAAGAAACAATATTAAACAATACTAGTAATTTTCTTAAGATAGAGATGATTTGAAGAGATCGAAAGTGAACCACTTAACAAAGACAAAAATCTTGTCATTAAAACAGTCAATCTTGTCATTAACCGGTTCCCAGTTAATTATGCTACAGCTTAATGTGTGAGCATTTCCCTTTCAAATTATAAAGACAAAAAAACCTGGTGGAAAAAATGAATAAAATCCGTCCAAATTCCGTCCCAAGAAATGCCTTCTTGACCCTCTCTGTTTCAAAAAAATATTTCATTTTAAGTTTTAAGATTTGTTTAAATTTTAATACAAATTTAAAAACTCATTATAGACTGTTTTCTTTACAACAGAAGGAGTAGTATATAAGTTTGATAAGAATTACTTTTTATTAGAACAAATCGAACATAATTTTCAAGCGAAACAGAACCGTATATATGATACTCCAAGGAGAAGTAGTAGTGTAGTACTTCTAGAAGTGTTAGGCATTAGTTTTCAATCAATTTCTTTCATTATCAAAATGGAGATGGAAATTTCTCGAAAGAGAAATGTCGTTAAAAATGGCTGGAGAAATTTAACACTTTTTCGATGAAATCATTAGTAAAAAGTAATTTGACTCACTATATAGTAGTACAAGACAGCTTTGTGAAATTTTCAATTCACATGGAGATCAAGGGTTTGAAAATTCAATATAAAAACAAAGGAAATAAAAGGCTGCGATCAAATTGATGAAGAGAAAAAACCAATGCATTCGTTAATTTCTTAAATAATAATATTGCTCATATCTCTTGTCGACGTCAAACTCTTCATTTTTAGTTAATTTAGTCGAATTTTTTGAGGAATTATTTAATGCATTTAGTGATGAATGGACTTGAAGGTTTACAGCAACGAGATGATCGATCGACTTGTAATGCTTAAAAATCATGGATAGAACATAATATACATATATATATATATATATATATATATATATTCTCGATGAAGCATTATATTAATTGACGTTTTTTGAATTTTGCTCTTTTTGTCAACCTAAAAAAACACCTCTTCTCCTTCTTACCCCCCTCCAAATGTATGAAAACAAATCAACACTTAGTACTTCATTTCTTCATTTCTATTTTTTATTTAGAAAACAGAACGCCTAAACCGTTCCCGTGAATGAATTTGTAATAATATATTGCGAATGCACCTACTAAAAATGTTGATTTATATTCTCATGTGATTCACCACACACATAATTTTTTGAAAAAAAAAAAAGAACAATGAAATATATCAGCAAAATCTTCACTGATTAGGACATTAATTTGTTTCGTAAATGCATGCGTGATTAAAAAAAAAACAAAACAAAACGAAACAAAAACGCTTTACTTATGAATGTTCTAGTAGAGCAAATAATATTTAAAAAACTAGAGATTTACGAAATATCAAACTGATTGAAACTTTATGTTTTTTGCTTGAATTATTCTGAAAACAGAAGCCCGAAATCTGTCCTCAAATTAATAATGAATCCGCGTGTCTAAAGTTGCCAATATCTTCTTATATATTAAGTAATGTATAAAACTCAGTAGGAATTATTGATTTGATAATGATCCTATTCATTAGCGCAATGGTCAGTTCCTCTTTGTCATGCTACCTCTGATTTATTTTTAAAATGACGGATAAAAAATTATTCTTATTTTGAGACAAAAGAAGAACGAAATTCTTATAATTTTTATTGTTGTCGTACATTTTGGAGGCTGACCTTCCATTTACACTTTCTCTTGATGAATTCTAGTTTCTGTCCTTATATTCACATCATATAAAAGAGACATATTTCCGCGTACGAGCAACAAAATATTTTGATCACAGGATCTAAAAATCTGGTAATCGTATCCAATAGTTTAATCAAAACCAACGCGTTTATTCAATCACCTTTTTTTTTTTTTTTTTTTTTGTACTATTTGGTTTCCTCAAATAAACTTTTTAGAGATTTGCATGCATGTTTTGATTTCAAAATGGCGGCCAGATGAATCCCCTGAACTCGTGCGCAACTTAGTTTCCCTTGAAAGTGCTCACTAAATCTTTTCTCACTCAGTCAAAGCACAAGAATTTCTCACATTTTTGGCTCCTCCCATCTTAAAGATACAAGTACAATACAAAATAGTAACAATTTTCGTTATGTAAAGTACTTGCAAACACACAAAATAAGTATAATACAAATATTCTCTCCGTTCTAAAAAAAAACTTATTCTGTTATAACTGATAATATATTTATTCAGAGACGTTAATATACCGTATAATGGTATGATCAATGTGTGATGGTAGTGTTTCCGTTTGAAGATAAACAAATAGGTCACAATTATGTCGGCTCCCTAATCAATCCAATAAAAAAAAAATGGAAAAAAAAAATGAAACCCTATTTGGTTTGATCCAGGTGAGAAAAGACTTGTTAAAGAAAGTGATGAGATCAAAGAGTACTGCGCAACAACATGTAACCTATGGCTATAGACATATATGTTCATATGAACAAGATAGATACACGACGGTACGTTACATAACAAAAAAGGGTACTTCTTTTGTCTGTGTGTGCTCTCCAAACGACCAGGGTTAGTGGTGGTTTTTTTGTAATGATATCCAACAGTTTTAGATTTTGGAGCCCCCACCACACAATTTTGATTTTTATCAATGGAATGGAATGTCTCTTCATCGAGATGCAAATTGTGTGATGTTTTGAACAATTATTAATTATGCTTTGTCTTGATTCATAGCACACTTGCTAATTAATCTTCCTTTATCTTTGAGACTGTTCCCACTGGGGAGATTTGATGATATAGATTGCATAAGGCCAAAGACAAGAATTAAAATCAATAAGCAGTGATGCAACAGTTATCTGCATAACTTCATACTATTCATTATTTACGTATCTCAAAATTATTACGCTCCATTCTGAAATAATAATCATTCTAGTAGGACATCGAGAGAATATGTACAAAGTCTAAATTCACATAATTATCAAAATCTTTTTCATAATCAAAACTGGTTTTTTTTTTTTTAACCCAAATTGTGTTCTTTTAGATAGGAAGAAACAGCATTGTGACAAGATGGTAAGACTTGGAAGCAAAAATTGAAAAATAAATAGAAACTGGTTTGACCGAGAGCTTACCGACAGCCGAGTGAACTCCAAGTAGTTTGTTCTTCCTCTAGCTAGGCAAATTTGTCGTCTGATATCGAATCTTCGCCTACGTGATGCATAAGTCAACACGAAGAAGATTAATTGTACGTATTACCTTGCATGATGGTGCAAGCTATAATAGAATACTAGATCAAATATCACATATAGGGAATTAGGGTTAATACTGTAGATTTGAAGTACTAGGGTGGAAAACTCAATAGAAGCACCCTTTACTTTGACTCACAATAACTGTTGTTATTTTGACCCCCGAGTAATTTTTGTATCTTTTTTTTTTTAAATCAAGTTTATAAGAAGTCTGTAGTTCTGTGGACTAAATGGTCTTATCAGTAATATAATACATTATTATAATTATTTTTACATGGACAAAATTATGATCTAATAATGGTTTGGATCATTAACTCAACCATTCGGTCACCTTAATTTTTTTTGTCTTGCCTATTGAAATTGTAGCCGTTTGAAATGTAACTAGAAGGAGAAGGATTTATAATTGGGGGGGTAGAAATACGCAATTCTAAAACAATTTGAAATGAGTGTCCACATAAGTTAAAAGAAGTTGGTGATCTAAACTATCCGTCACTGGGAACAAAATTCTAACACAAGACAATGAGAGATCAGTTAAAGGAATCATGACCAGAAAGCCTACAATTGTTTTGGGTCCAATTTGGAAAAAAATAAGTAAATTATACGTAATTCGTTACTCCTATTTGCTTTGAAGGTTGACTTTATTAAATCTTAGTAGTTAAAACTGAAAGTGAAATATATTCGCTATCTGACTTTTTAGCTTCGTTAAAATAAAAATAAAAAAACAATGATGACGAGAGCCGACTTATTTTTGAATACCTTAAAATAGCTAATTAGCATTAAACCTTTGCAAATATTTTTTATGGAGTTGGACTTATTCGTTAGTTTTGCTCTACATTTTTGTATATAAGAATTAAGACGTCAATAACAGTTCGCATTCTGCCTCGTTAAGTTGCATAAATTAGCCAAAGTGTCCGAAAATGACGATTATGATTACAATTATTTTCCTTTTTAAATTTTTTTTTAAAAAAAGTAAGAAACGAAATACTAACCATTTTGCCTTTATTTTGCCTTTGAAACCCTAACCATTTGGTATTTTGGGTTATACTCCCTCCGTCTCAATATTATTGTTTCGTTTGAATTTTCAGTTTGGTACTGGCATGTTTATTGTGCTAAATATAAAATTCAAATTGGACAATAATTTTGAGACAGAGGGAGATAAAAATTGCAAACTTTAGAAAATTATTTTACACATACAATTAAGTATTAAATAACAATGTCATCCATCTCAAAAAAAATTGATGAAGAAAAGTTTGGGAATGTTTATTTTTTATCCAATAAAATGCTAGCTAGGTAGCATAAATTACATCCCATCTCGAAAGCTTATTGGATTAGACAGAAATTACAGTTGACTTTGAATATCAAAATAGTTAACCAGGATTTTCAGCTGGTTCTACTCCTATAAGTCCTAGTCACGTCTAAATTAACGTACTGTTTGGATGAGACATCTTTCTCCTCCTTTTTTTTCCTTTTTCTTTTTTTGTGATGAGACATCTTTCCAAATACACAAAAGAAGTCAAAAGATCATTTTGTGTTCCCGCTTCAAACGTAGAAAACATGTTGTTCGATCGGTGAGGCCAACGAGATTAATCATGTCCCTATTGGATACCATCAGCCAATGGTTGCCGACATGTAGTAGAAGCCACTCGAGATTATTCTCATGTAGGCTAATCAGGTGGAGTTTTTACATTAGGGAAAAAATTTCGTAACATGTTTGTATTATATTTTCTGTGACATTCATGGACGGAATTAGGAGAGCAGGGTCGATTAACCCTCCGGCCGGCCAGATTTTCCTTCAGTAAGGGTGTTCCGCGTGCAGCTGAAATTTTGACAGATCGATGCTTCAGTGACAATTGAATTGATAGCTCTATTTTCAACCATGCGATTTGACCGTTCTTGTCCCATCATTGGATTGACATTAATTAAAATTTTTAACATATGTATGTGTATAGATATATATTAGGATTACATGAAAGTATTAGAGAGGAAACATGACACATGACAAAAACCTTTTTTTTTTTTGGGTTAAAGAAAGATTAAAACATAATTTTGTTTGCTGGTGCAGCTTGATAATTCTAACAGAGGAAACATCAGCCATAATTATTTTTCAATAAAGCCGTCTAAAGCTCTCAACAAAGGCACGTGCAGCCTTGATTATAGCATGTTTGATGTAAAATCTTTGTCAATATTTTTACCATAATGACTACTTAATTAGGAATCTCTTTCCTAAACCACCATGCCCACTACCCAAAAATTACGGTATAAATTTTAGCTAATATTCCTTTTACCCTATTAAAGCAAAATACAGGAGGATGTTGATGTGTCAATTTCTTATTAAAAAATTTTGGCTCCAAATGCACCATATTGCATTAACCATTCTGCCACGTGTCATCCCTTTTTAAAAGAAAAAAAAATTCTTATCCAGAGAAACAAAAGCTACTTTACAAAAAGAGCTACACAATTTTAACTCCTAACATTTATCATTTATCAATCAAATTAAAATAGCATTAAAATTTGCCCATAAACTTATCCCCTTTATTACTCCACATTCTTTTGTATGATTTCTGTATCGTTGTACTTTTCAATATTTTTTCTCCTTTGGCAGATGATTTTTTTATTTTTATTTTTATTTTTGGCTAAAAAAGGAAAAAAAAACCAAATGTATAGCTATTTTATTTTTTCCAAATCAAGAATTTATTTATCTATTAACACAAAATTAAAGTAGAGGGGCGCCCGGCATCTGCTCAGGCCAAACATCTAGTTTTAATTTATAACCATACGTCGGGTTTTCCACATATAGGGGAAATATTTTAATTACTCTTTCTGTTCCAAAAAAAAAATTATATTGAATTTTAGTATTTGTATTATTTTTAGTACAAATTTCAAAATTCAATGTGAATTATTTTTCTGGAACGGATGAAAGTATGATAATTGCATGTTTAGCAAACTGTTATCATTAACATTCTCTTCATCTTATAACAACAATTCAGCTTCTGAACTATTTATAGTTTTAAAATAGTAACGGAAGTCATAACCCTTTATAACAAGCCACCAAATAGAACTAATTTTATTACATAATGACGACATTGAGTTTTATGTTAACTCTTTTCGAGGAAACATTAGAAATTTATATGACCCAAAAAAAAAAAAAGAAACATTAGAAACTTATATCTGTACCTGCTCTTGTTTTTAGTCTGATTTTGTAGGATTTTTACCCCTTTAAATACATCAATTATGAAATGGCTTCGATTTATGATAATTTTGTTTTGGTAAATTTCTAAATATATATTTCACTATCATCCTCTAACTATATTCATTTAAAAGCTTCACAAGTCAACAAGACAGATACTACAGTTCTTCCACACAACTCAAACAAACAAAAAAAAGTCCAGAAAATATTGCAAACATTACGTCCGACCACTAACCAAACTTGCGAAATTCTGCACAACATTACCTTGTCCTTACCCAATCAAAATTTCATCAGAATTTCAACTGTGGAATAAAGCCTCCACCAAAATGTCGATACAAAAAACACCACGTAGACAAAGTTATTAAATTTTTAAGAAAGACTTGAATTGGTGTGTGAATATAGTCAAAAGCCTTGCTCCAAAGGGAATATTGAAATAAAAGCTAGCAATTAATTTAACACGTAGTTGATAGTATAAATATTAGGTGACCACAAAGTAGTTTTGGAGATACACAAACACCAAATGGATCAATCATAAAAGTTGGATTGGACTTCGAAAAAGACATTACCATTATTAAAAAAAAAATTCATATATTTTTCATCATTTGTTTTGCTTTGGTGACGATAATCATATCTTATTATGACGATAGTACTCATCCATGCAATTTGCATTATGACTAAACAAAAAAAAAAAGCTTGAAAGAAGACCCGCCAACTAAATTTTGCTATAATTCATCAAAATGATTGTATATAATCAGAAATTTAACTAACTAACTCTCAATTGGCTTCTTTTTTCCTGCCATTTGATATATCGTTACATGGAGTACTAGTACTATGTTACATTCTTTATATCATGAAGGTTACAATTAAAACCATAAAAATATTTATTCGTACAAATTGAATTTCCTCATTGACCTCGATTGATCTCCTACTCAGCTCTAGTCATGATCACTGGCTAGCTTTAGCTTTAGAAATCTAATGATTTTTTTTGGAGAATTAATAATTAAACTTGATCAGAGAAAGAGATTTACTCCTTCCGTCTCATAATAACTTCCACTTTTACTGAACTAAAATAGTTCAATAACGTGGACTATTAATATGAGTCGAAAGAGTAAATTATATTTCGACCCGCCGGCTTAGTTGTGTGGAAGTGGGTAGTACATTTGATCAATATTCAAGTCCAAAGAGCAGTCTCCCACAAGGATCCAGGATGATTGTCATCAAAAAAGTTGAGATTATTGTTAGAAGTAGTCTGGAAAGAAGGTCCAAGTTGTTGTTGTTGGGTACCATTGATGATGAAATTATTGGTGTCAATTTGCATGGATGAAATTGAAGAAGGAGAAGCAGGCAATTGTTGTGGTGTTTGTGCCATTTCCATGCAAATGAGGGCCATGAGATTGGCTTGTTGGCATTGCATGTTGATAATTTCAGCTTGTGCTTTTGCCAATTGGGCTTGGAGTTCATTCACTTGCTTCTGGAGTTGACATATTGCTCCTGCACTTCCATACACTGGATCCCTCAACCTTGCATTTGCTTCATAAACCATGCTGCTCACTGCATCAGCCCTTTGAGATTCAGGCAATTCCTGTAAACATTTAGTGAAAAAAAATCATCAGAATTAATGTCATTTTTATATGGTCAATTCTTGAAAGTTAAACAATATGACAATATGATGGCTATGATCAACTTGTCATGTGTGACTAATTAATGCTTTCTAAAAGAGGATGGGAGTATTGGATTGTGATGTGACTTAGCTTTTATAAACTAATTGGAATTGGAATTGGAATGGTCATTTCTTACCCTCCAAATATTTTAATAGAAAAAATTGAATAAACTGTCTTTGTATAATATATTGTTAATTTGTTATCATTTCTAGAATTTTCTTTTTCTTTTCCCTTTTAATGGTGGTGTTATCTAGGGCATTAAAGAAATGTTGGATACTTTGGTTAGTTGGTTCACCATTCCATTCCAAAGTGAACGTCAAAAAGTGGGACTCTAGACTTTTATTTATAAAGTCCCCACTGTGTGAACTAACTTGTCCAAAATGGTACTACTAAAATATGATCAAAGTCATTCATTCAATTACCAAATGGCTCATTATGCAAATTCCCTACCCTTGTAGTACTACTAGTCATCATTAGTTACCACAGCTGGAAATTAATGTAAAAACTCGTCCCAAAATAATAGTTATGTTTATTAGACTAAAACAATTTCAGAAATAGTTGTTAAGAAACTGTGTGAATACTCGTTTGAGCAAAAGGTTCAGACTTCAAGTTCAAAGAGATTTAAAGGCAATGCAATGTGGGAAAATGACCGTATTTTAGACTTTTAGCTAGAATCGAGATTACCTAGCTAGCTAGTCATGAATAATTTGATCACTGAATTTACCTGTAAGAACTTGATAATATTACTGGCCCCGAAAACACGATGAGCAGTGGTAAACTTGATGGGATCATTGGGAGGAAAATAAGGTGCCAAGACACATTTCTCAGCACACCTCCGCCTGAGTATCTTACATGCAGCACAAGGGCTGACAACCACCGCCACCGGCGGCTGAGTTGGCGGCGGAGGTGTAGTCGGTGGCCGCGGCGGAGAAGATGAAGAAGTAGGTGAAACTGAGCGAGAAGATGATTTAGGTGAAGAAGAAGAAGTAGTAATGGTGGTTGCAGTTGTATCACTTGTTGAGTACTCCATAGTAGTAGCTACAGCTTAATTAGAGTGTGACTGTGTTTTTTTATCTTTTTTCTTTGTTGTAGTTTAAGAGAAAAGAAGGAAAAGAGAGAGAAGAATAAAGGGGTGTGAGTTTAACAAAGTTAGACAAATATGTGGAGTATTTATAGTTAGATAGACCCAAGAAAGAGGGAGCGGTATGATGTCATAAAAGCAATTATTGACGTGAAGTGTACTGGTATTGTTTCTATTAATCTGGATTCGAGTCGATATTCATGTTTGATATTTCCATAAAGTAAATGAATTTGATTAATGACTTGGCTGCGGCTTTGAACCCGTTTTCACTAGGCTTGCCAAAGGTTTGGCTTTCGTTTGTATATGTGAAAAGTCTGAAAACCTTTGGAGGAAAAGTTGGGTTTAGCCGTTTAGGAGATTAAGACTGCTTTTGTTATTTTATTTGTTTTTTCGGGTAGCATTAATTTGGTGATAAATTAAGGTATGCTGATTTTGTGTTTTACGGGGTGAGGTTGTGTTTTTAGCACATATATGGATGTTATCGTGTGCAAATTTGTTTCTTCTTTCTAAACAATGCATGTGGATAATATGTACTACTATCTCATAGTCCAAGAACCTTCTTTCTGATCTTAATTAAACGTGATAGAATCTATCTAATTTGTTATTCTTAAATGTGTTTTGGACTTTTGATTAACTGATTTTTTTTCTTTAATTATGCATAAATGGGTATTTTTGTTCGTTGTTGGTTTGGACTAACTAAATGATGATTATGAGATACATTGTCTTCCTTTGCAAAAGCCAAAAGTTATAAAAGAAAAGTTATTATTTGAGGTTGGAACATGGCATATTCATCGTAGTAGTGTAATGTACTCCTTCTGTCCCAAAATTATTGTCTAGTTTGAGATTTTACTTTTAGTACAATTTAAAGTAAAAATGAAAACCCAAACTGGACAATAATTATGGGACGGAGGGAGTATTAATTAATGTACCTTTGGGGGATGTTATTCCGCTCATCAGTTGTAATCATCTTCTTGTTTTATTACTTACTTTCCTGTAAAATTATATCTTTGCTTCAATTCATGATTTTATTTTTTATTTTTTTGGTATAAAATAACAGGCAAAAAAACACCGATAAAGTCATTTTCTAATCACGGTTTAATTCATAAATTTGATTGCGCAATACAGATTTCAATAAAATAAATATTAAAGCCCTCCGATCGTATTTATTACATACACGATATTCTAATCAAATTTATTTTTTAATTTGTATCTTATAAATACGTTAAAAATAAATGTACTGGTATTTTTACATTGTCTAACACGTTTTTACGGTCTAAAAGTTTCAAACTTGTACAAGTTAAACAACAATTTGTACACAAATAGCTAGCTGCCCCCGATAAGACATGCATCAAATTAATTTGGCGGAAGTACTGACCATTTTTGATGAATTTTTATACAAGAGACAAACTTATTATACTGACATAACATCAGAAAAAAATATATTATAAATTTGTAGGTCCTACAATTTACTTAATTTCTTCAAATTTAGCTTCAACTAATGGAAAAGAAAAGTCCTCTCTACACAAGAAATTTCATCATGACTTAAATTTTCAGGCAAAATCAAAATAAAAACCATAGTTTTCCATCTAAAAGACAAAAAAAAAAAAAAAAATAGCTCGATAGGACTTGAGTCAGTCTGTCAGTCAGTGAGTGTGTTTGGAGAAGTTAGTAGTATATATTTTGGTTTAAAGTCTGAATTAATTCCCATATTGCAAATTGTGTTTAAAGTCAAGATGAGTAGATGCCAACTGATGTTAATGTTACTAGTAGCTAGCTAAGTCCTTTGTTAGAAAACGTTAATGTCAGTTTTACCTACACACAGTCACACAGTAGAAGATGGATGATCAATATGTCTCATTCAAATGACTAGTGTAAGAAGAAGGATAAGATTAAGAAGCAGGAGTTTGGCCATAAAAGACTGTAAACAGCCCACATTACTCCCACTGGTCTACACTGGACTAGGGGAGACACGTGTAATGCTGGATTGCTGGTTCCAAGAATCTAGTAGATCAATTGGAATTGCAATTTATTGGTAATTAGCTTAATATCGAATCTATTCTATATTTCTATTGTTAATAATAGATATTGAGACCATAGTAGTAAGTATCGTACGATACGCGATACATATCGCACGATACATATCAAAATTAAAGATTTTGATACGTATCATGATATGTATCGCAATCGCTTGTGTAACTGAAAAATAAATTTATAACTGAAAAATAAAAAAAATAAATAAATATATCAACTACATATGGAATTTATGATATTTATTATTTTTTATAGATATTATTATATTAAAACGTATCTTATGATACGATACACGATACGATATGTGTATCATAAATCTATGTTTCCAATATACGATACGTTTCCTGCTTTGATAACTATGATTGAGACGGTATCCGGTGAATATTTAATATACATTTGCAACTTAATAGATATTGTTATTGATGTATTGAAAAAGAAACACGAAAGACAGTGCATAATACTTATTCCACATGAAGAAGAGTCTAGCAATTGAAATACCGATCAGAGAATCTAACCTGATTAGAAATCAAAAAGTTGAAATAACAGAAAACGGTAGTGTATGGCGTTGTAAATTGTCATTAGCTAAACACTTTAGCTTCAACTTATCAATAATTATTGGTTGTTGTATCAATCGTTATAAGAATTCACTGTAAATTTGTTACTGATGTTATAGAATCAAGGGGGGGTGGGTTAAAAAGGGTAGTGTCAAGGGGGGTGGGTTGTTGCCACCACTAGAGAGACAAGAGCACTCTTCCTAATCTCCCTACCCAACATTTCACTACGTGGCCATTTCTTGGATAATGACAAGTGAAAAAAGAAGAAGTTAACGTGGGGGCATGTTTCCATAAGTCAGCCCGTTTAGCACATGACAGTAGAAATTCTGTTTTCCTTTTCTTTTTTCTTTCTTCTTCGTGTCGATTTTCTTGAAGAAAAATTATTATGAAAGGTATTTTTCTGATAAAAATATCTATAATCGACGTTATATAAGAGAACGTGCTCGGGAAATGCTTTTTTTTTTCCTCCTTAAGTTCTCTTATTGAATTGTTAATTTGGAGTTTAGATCATCGAGTAAATAATAATCATTCATTAATTAGGAAAAAAAATTAAGTAATTATATTATTTTAATTCAAAAAACATGTAAACTCTTGTTTAGGCAATGGAGGAAGTGTCAAAAATCACCAACTCATGCATGGTTCATTACTTTGTTGCTAATGTTGTGCAATATATTATACTCTTGCGGTAGACAATATTTTACATTGTACAACGTTACATGCATGATACACTACACAGTTGTATAAAGAAATATTCTTTTTTTCAGATTATCATATTTAGTTTATTCTTAATTAAATTCAATATCAGTTACCTCTTCATGATTTTCTCCAGAGCCATAGAGGCCAGGCATAAGCTATCCAGACTATTATTCAGAGAAAAAGAAATTATGAAACTATATATTTTTGAGTTATCAAATCATCGCAACTATGTGTTGAATTGTTGATCACTGTTTTAATCACGTTTCTATAGACAATAATTTTATCCATCATTTTTCCACTAGGGAAAATTAAATGTAATAATCTATATTACTCTATAATCAGTGGCGGAACCAGCTACTCAAACTTGAAGGGACTGACTATATATATACACAATCAAGATCGATGGTCGAATATATATGACGTAAGGCTAACAATGACCACTCTTAAGGGGCTTTCCGGAAGAGCTCGGTACCCCCGAGCCCCTTAAGAGTTCCGCCCTTATCTATGATGATTTCATTTTAACTTTGATGATAATTTAACTTTTAACACAATTCATAATATCTTTATATTCTTAAATACGAACGAATTTTAATTCATGTGATAATGACATTTAGAAATTTAGTAATCACTAATTCGATTCGGCATGGTGCAAATATACATGTAGCGTTCCTAATCTTAACCCCGTTTGTGCATGACTTGATTTCTTAATTTTATTTTTCCTTTTTATTTTGGGAAAGGGGCTTAGTCGATCTTTTTAGTTTTTAGAACCACTATACAAACCAGAGTCACTAGAAGTACTATAATTAATACGGACAGACCGAAACTTTTTCAACCCCCAATTGTGAACCCATTTGAGAAGATATATCAATATGAAAAGGTGCCCTAAAAAACAAGGGATATATATAGTTAACAAATTTGGACCACTCCCACAAGTCTAAAAAGATGTTGTGAAAAGAGGAAATGTGAAACTATGTAAAACTATATAAGCTGCTAAAACTAATGTACTTGATGATAATCAACTTACGCGTACGTGTGATAAAAAGTCTCTTTGGACTTTCTTTTTTTCTATCAAGCAATTTAGCCATTTATATGATCTCTTAATGAAAGATCAAAGATTCTTCTAACAAAATTTTTCTTTTTAGTCGCATAAGTCCAAAAAGATCCCACCAATTTCCAACTTTTTCGTTGATCTTAGACAAAAAGAAAAAACTAAAATGGTTGTGTCATCGATCTTTTTAGTATTAAATCGTGGAGGAAGTTGTTATTATCAATTAATAAATTAATTGGTAGACTTTTTTAATTTCAATCTCTAGATTCTCCATCGCTAAAAAGTGCTTACCAACGTATCTTCTATTCTATCTTAGTGCTTGGGACTAGTCTTTTGCGTGTGGACCTGGGCAATCCATCACATAAGTAGTGCCGAAGAAATTAATTTAACATATGGAAATTTGCATTTGCCCACAAATTTTTTCTATTTTTTTTACTTTGAAATGTATTATTAACCGATTGGTAAATACACCCGATTGAGAAGAAAATAATAATACTCTTTCCATCTCAATCTAAAAAGTCCACGTTGTTATACTATTTTAGTTTCACTATAACGAATGTCATTAACCGATTGGTAAACACACCCGATTGAGAAGAAAATAATAATACTCTTTCTGTCTCAATCTAAAAGTCCACGTTGTTATACTATTTTAGTTTCAGTGTAACGAAAGTAAGAGATGGGTTATGAAGAGGAGGAAGAGGAGATTGAAAAGCGTGTTTTTCTTTGTATTATTGGGTTCCAGTTCTTTTGAACAATTGTTGATTAATATA